GGAGAATGATTTGCCGTGTCGGTTTGTATTATTGAACTTGTGTTTATATAGATTACAACATCGTACGTAGGATTTTCATAAGGATATTTATGTCGTTGTACATATACTCTAACAGTCGCGTCGAATAAGGCAGCTGATAGTTTGGCCAAAGAACCGATTCACCACTTCATATCTTTTGTTTTCATGTTCCTAATTTTGTTGTGACAAATATATCTTTTGTTTTCATGTTCCTAATTTTGTTGTGACAAATCATACTCACTTTTTGTCTTCATCATTTTAATGCAAGATGTGAAGACAAAAAATAATTGCCTCTCCACCAAAGTCTGCTGGTATGATCAGTATGCTTCAAATGAAACAATCCCATTAGAAAAATGGCCAAATTACAAACTACTAGTAGTAGTAGTACACAAAGCTCAAGTCTTGAAGAACGCAATTGGTTTGAGAGAATCGCAACCCAACTGCCACGGTCTACCCCTACAATCTCCAGACGCTATTTCCGCGTTTGCGTTTTGACCGCTGCCGTCACTCTGCGTCAGGTTTAAGCTTCTCGTGGCGATCATATTCTCTAAATCGCTGACGTAGCTCGAAAGCCACGTCTTCTCCGATCTAAGAACCCCGTTCTCCGACTCGACCGAGTCTAGCCTCTGCCTCACCGCTCTGCATCTCTCGCTGTTCTCTTTGATTCGTCTTTCAAGAGTCGAGATCTCGTGGATCGTGTCTTCCATTAGCTTCTGCTTCTTCAGACGCGATCTCCTAGCAGATTCGCGGTTTGACAACTTGCGTTTCCTTTTCTTCTCATCTATGTCGGAACCTGAGCTTGTCTTCTCTGCGTTTGCCATGATGTTCTGTCCTAATAATAATACTTGCGAAAAAGGTAAAAACTGTTCAAGAGAAAACGTAAAACCAGTGGAGAATCACGACGGATACGGAATGATAAACGAGGAATCGAGAGAATTGGTTGAGATTTCTCATTTCATAACTCCGTCCATTGACGTAATATTAACAACAATTCTAAATTCTCCAGAAGAATCTGTGTACGACGAAGATCTCGAGAAAATAAACAAGAAGATCTCTATGATTAACGTTGTCAGGACGACTTTCGAATTTAGAGAGAAATCAGAAGCGAAACAGAACAAATGGAGAAGATAAGGATAAGATCGAAAAGAAAAGTGGAGAAGTTATTCGTCTTTAGGTTGCTCCTATTTATAGATTTTTAACATTAAAAAAAAAAAAATTAAAAAACCTTATCCGAAATAAAATGGAAAGATTCATGGAATGACGACGAATCGGTGAAGAAAGAGAAATTAAATGATATTGGAGAATTTTGGTAAAAAACATGACATTTTGGTTATTGTTTTATTTTATTTGGACATAACAACTAAATATGTGTTGTTGTTGTTCCTTTATTGGCAGACCAGTAATCCTTAATTTTAACTTGTGTTTGCATTTAATCTAGTTTTTCCTTGTACATTTTAGTTGTCACGGTCGTAGGATAATTCTAGGTATATCCAAAAATTCTGGATTCTGTAACCTTTTATGTCCCTGTCCAAATTCAAATCACTATGTATGTTCCTTTTTGGTGACTCCAGTGAAATAGAACACGATTGACTAATCTAAGAAGGCTATGTTGTAAAGCTCCGAAACTGAATGAGTACATGTCAATGGGTATTGGTTAGTCAATGGCAAAAGTATGTTTAACAAATATTGTTCCATCGTTTTTTTTCTTAGTTCGATTTTAACTACTAAGCATGAATATGTTATGTTCAAAAAGGCACAAGTATTAGGTTTAGGGACAGCTAATCAGACGGTTAAAACTAGCGAATTGAGAGATAACCGAAACGAAATATGGTCAATCTCTTATATTATTAGAAAGATAATGACGGTACAAAATTATCTATATATTAAAAGAGAAGTATTTTTGGATTAATTTACTTAGGTGTCAAGTTCTTAATTTTTTTAGAGTTTTTAATTAAGAACTAAATTCTATTATTAATTTTCTACTATACTATTACCCAAACACTCCACAATCTTATTAATTCTCTACTATACTATTATCCAAACACTATACAATCACACAATCTTTCCAACCAAACATCATTAGGAGACAATTTTTTTGATTAGTTTTTTAAAAATGAAAATAAAAGAAAGTTTACTATTAATATTCATTCTTTTATAATTACCTTAGACCTATGAAATTCAATTCATATTTTCAATTTTTTTATTTTGTATATTTGAGTCATAAACCGTATTTCTTAAGATTATGATATTAAAGAAATACATTTTATTAATAAGTGATATATATTGACTAAAAACTAAAAATTTGTTGTTTTCAATTATTTCACGGGTGGGATACATTTCTATACAAAATCATTGCAAAATTTATATATATAAACGAGTTTTAGATTCTGTATAATTATTTTCCCAATAACTATATATAATTTTTTTAAACTAAAACTATATTAATTTTACTCGTGTATCACATTACCCCACGTATAATGCAGGTAACTATCTAGTGAAAGAAATAAAATAGAAGTACTCTATTACCGTTAAAGTTTATAACATCAATAAAAAAGAATTATTAAGTCAAAATGATTTATTTTATCTTAGATATTGACTTGGGATTGC